TTATTGTCTTATGATGCTCAAATTATTTCACGATTTGGTGCAGTTTCTTTGGTTGGGAGTGAAAATTGTCCCAATTATACAGGACAATTAAAAAACCAAAGGAGAAAGTACGTCCGAAAATAACACGAAAAGGTCATAGAAACATATACCCCAAAATGCCCCTTGTCGAGATACAGGATGTTGAAAACTTAATTTAAGAATCGAGAAAAAATCGCGAAAAGTAGGTAGACTCTGCATTTCCTACGCAAGGTCGTCATCAGTTCATAAAGAATTACCTTCATCGCAATTTAAATCTTTTAAAAAAAGTCAGGGTGTTTCAGTTTATTGTTGCATAACCTTAAGATTCGATAGAACTTTTAAAATTAATGCATAAAGTCTATATAAACATGGGTCGAGAAATGCGTGGCTTCCGAAATACAGGGTGTTTAAATTTACTTTCTAAAATAGTTTTTTTTTAAATATTTCGAACAATATTTGATGTATAATAGTGAAAATTGGTATGTAAGGGTTTTTTGGTACAACAAAACGAACCATGGGCATAGTTTTACTGTAGCCGCTAGAGGGCGCTCTCTACTGTACCTGTAGTGTATTAAAATGACCGAAAAAATTTTCTTGGTGCAATTTTTTGCTTTTTGAATTCGATGCATTTTTAATTATTTATGATAAAATAACGTTAAAAAGTCAGTATCTCGATAATTTTTAGAAGTAGGCTATGCCTGCAAATATTTTTGAAATTGAAAGCAGAATAAGGTTAAACGTCAATTAGTTGACAGTTAGTTTTGTTGTCTGTTGAAACCTGAAAGGTTTTTTTGCAATTCTGAATGCACGAAATTTAGTTTCTTTTACCTGTTTTTTTTTTTGTAAGTTTTATAAAAATGCCATTTTTATTCTTCAATCAAGAGTTAGCGGATATTCATTTTGTGTATGGCTTTGTAAATGGAAACGCAGCAGAAGCAGCCAAAGAATACGTACGAAGATTTCCAAACAGACGACATCCAACTCGCTCAGTATTTGCAAGAGTGCATCGCCAAATAATTGAAAATGGTTTTGGAAATCTCCAAAGGGATCAAAACATAAATGTTCGTCAGCGCAGATTTACCCGTATGATTCTGCGTGGGTTTGATAGAGATCCGACCACAAGTGTTAGGAGAGTTTCTGGTGCATTGAGAATTTTAGCAAGCCATGCCATGTTCACCGTGTTCTTAGAAATGACCATAGACGTCCTTACCATTTGCAATCTGTGCAAGGACTACAGCCAGGGGACGGAGAACGAAGAATCACATTTTGTTAGTGGATTCTGGATAGAACTGATAATAATAGGGAGCTTTTAAGTAACGTTTTATGGACCGATGAGTCATGCTTCACTAGACGTGGAGTGGTAAATTTTCATAATCAACATATTTGGTCGCATGAAAATCAGCATGCAATTGGGGAAAGAAATTTTCAGCATGAACTTAGTGTGAACGTGTGAATTGGTATCTACCGTAATCGACTATTCGGACCCTACCTTTTGCCTGCAAGGTTAAATGCTGCGACCTTCTTGGAATTTTAAAAGGCTGAACATGCAAATATGTGGGATGATGTTATGTTAAATTTAAGAAGATTGGCCTGGTTCCAGCTTGATGGTTGTCCAGCTCATTATTCGAGAATAGTTAGAAACTGGCTGGACGAAAATTATCCAGAAAGATGGATCTGCCGTGAAGGACCAGTCGCCTGGCCTCCAGGATCCCCTGACCTAAATCCATTATATTTCTTTGGGTATATATAACGAAAACTCATAGGAGAGCTTTTTTATGTTGAAAAGTGCGAAGAATCAGTTTTTTTATTCAAAAAGCAAAAAATTGCACTAAGAAAATTTTTTCGGTCATTTTAATACACTACAGGTACAGTAGAAAGCGCCCTCTAGCGGCTACAGTAAAACTATGCCGATGGTTCGTTTTGTCGTACCAAAAAACCCTTGTATACCAATTTTCACTGTTATACGTCAAATATTGTTCGAAATGTTTATATAGACTTTATGCATTAATTTTAAAAGTTCTATCGAATCTTAAAGTTATGCAACAATAAACTGAAACACACATACGACACGGAAATTAAATGGATTAAGTCAGTCTAACAGGCCTATACAATTTTTTTCCCTGCCTTAATGGTACTTTCTGCCCATCTGGCAACGTTGTCCCTTTCCATATCTGTGCGGCATCGCTACATCCAGTTATCTTTCATCTCGTGCGTGCTCCGTGTATATATTTTTTGTGCTGCAGTGTTGATAGATTAGTCAGCCGGACCGTTTCGCTGATCGGTGAGCCTAGATAGCAGGACTACGCGAATCGAAAACATTTCTGTCATTTTAACTTTTATAGGCAAATGTACGGGGAAATCTACGATGTGTGAGATATGGCTAATAGCTGCACAAAATTACCGTGGTTTTGAGCGTCTAAATATAAAAATTTTCAAAAAAAAATCATGAAAATCCGACTGGTACTTCTCAATTTATAGACGTGCCGAGGAATAGCGGACAGACCGACGAAAATTTGGACATGATTTTGCGTGATGTATATGTCAAATAAGATGCAAAAAACATAATATATCATTTTCGAAATTTTTCGTGATTACAATACTTCCTCGACTAGTGGCGTAAGAAGTACAAATATCTCCGGATTAATTGTACGACGTTTCGGCCATGTCGTTGGAGCACCTTAAAACATAAAAATATCAATATCTCTATTACATTGTTAAGAGCTTAAGTACCCCAAAATTTTACGCTCTCCATTATAAAACTATATAACTGCAATCAATTGAAAAATGAAAATAACACATATTTTAAAAACTTTGCTTTATTAAAGATTTTGATGTTTTATGTAGAAAATATATTTGTCCGGCACTTTAAATATTAATCTAGTATCATTTAGTTATAAATACTTACAATAGGAAAACAAATTATTAGACAAGTGATGGAAGAAATGATGGCAATATTTATAGGGCATAAAGTAGACCAAAGATTAATTGAAAAATTCATATAAAGATGGCTCCCAATAAGCTCCTTTACCAAGATGAACTGTTGAGATTATGCGTTCGAAATCCAAAAAAACATATTTCTTCGGGTAGTAATAAAATATTGCATTAAACATTTGTAGTATTAGTCGATTCATACAAAAAATCATATTTTTGAGACTACATCAGAGGCGTAGGACTTGGGATATTCGGCTACTATAGAATAAATTGAAAACTATTTTCTACGTCATTGATTTTTTTAAATAATAATTGCAAGGAATAAGATATATTTTACATGTATCCCTTTCTTGAGAATTTTTTGCTTTAGCGAAAAATTGGTTTGAATGTTTGAGGTTGTTTTTTGTATGTATAGACTCTAAAATTACTTATCAAGAGGCAAGCAGAAATTGTTGTCCGGTCTTAAAACCCTTGGCCACAAAAAATATGTGGAGTGCTTAGTTCTTAGTTAAAATTCGAAATACACAGAATTCAATAGCTCCGCCCCTGAGATAATTCAGTTGGGTATAAACAATATAAATCAAGTCCCTTGACGCCTACCGTCGATTCACAGAGGTTAATTTAAACCACTCAAGTAATTTAATAGAAATTAAAAATATTAACATTAGAAGCAATCAAATTGAACAACCTGTGTCTCAATGAGGAAGCCTTACAGTATATAAGTTGACAGGAACTTTATTGTTCAGTTTACTGAGTTCTATCACATGCTAGTATTATCACGAAAATCCGTATACGTAAAGACCGAATTAAAAAATTGAAACAATTGAAAATGAAAAGCGCCCGAAATTAGTAGATTCACTTTAATATACGGTATATTGAACGCAATCCACCAAACATTTTGAAAATCATTTAGTGGATCTGGGTTCCAAGGTTTGAAGCTAAGATCATTCTACTCAATACATGCAAACATTTCCGCGATTTAGGTTACACGAATGGTGTAGGAATTGAGGAATTTTGACCCCTAGTGAAGAATAAAGGTAATATTTACTACTATGAAACATCAAATACATTTTACAACACCCTATATCTTGGTAACGGGACATTTTATTACCCATATTTACAGGAACGCTGCCAGTTATTTTTTATGTACTTTCTGCTATAGAAATATTGCCATTGTTTGTTTCTAATCGCCTCAAATAGAGGCATGATTCGTTGATGGACATTGCTACTTGTCACAACCTTTGGATTAGAAACATTCCGATTGTTAAACAATGTACATAACATTTTTTAGAAAAATACCTGCAATTCCTTCTTAATTTTTTTTGAACCTAAATGCTAGTCATAGATTTTAGGATACTGCTGTAAACATTAAGTATTAAAGAGAAACTTTCTATTGGCATTTAAGTATTTACCGAACTACACCTAGATCATTCATTCCCATTCCATATTAATATTATTGTTAAACATGGGTCTGCGCTAACCATATTTCAGAGGACATTAGAGGAAGTTGCTGAGAACCTTACCTCTCTCCTGAATCGGACCACTGGTCTCACTGGCTGTGCATTTTCTGATACTCAATTATGTTACTCGTTTAGTCTGCGATGTTTAGTCTTCTTGTGATAAATCTATATTTCAGTGTAACGGTTATTTATTAAATAACGTTATTTAGTAATAAGTAATCACATTTTGGCTCAAATAGCGTTGATCGGAATTTGTTTATACTCCTCAGCTCTAAAAAATGTATCGCTGACATTCTATCAAAAAACTGTTTCTATTTACACGATGTTTCAGCATGTCTATCCTTGTTTGAATTTCAGTTCCGCAAAGCTTTGCCTGTCCTAAGTGTAATAAGTTGTTCACGATAAGAAATAACCTAAAAACTGATTTGAAATCTTACTGTGAAATTCCTCCAAAATTTATTTGTATTGTGCGAGGTTGTGACCATAGGTGCAGGAAAGAGGCCAATATGCAACGACATTATTTGCTGAAGCATAGCGATATCACGTTACAGAACCTTTCAGCTTATAGAAATAATTTATTATAATTTTTAGGACACCTTTATATAGTCTAAATAAATCGTATTTGAACATGCTGATTAACAATACAGATCAACATCTGAAAGAAGGTACATGATTAAACTCTGTGAACTCTATCAACAATATTGTAATTACTCAGAAACATAATATGAGGAATTTATAAGTTTATCATTCATTCTATACGGCGGATTAATATTTAAATCGCATATTCCTATTACTTTGCTGTCGCATCAGTCCCCCATTTGAGACATATTTCTAGATACCTTACCGATCTCTACTCTTAAGGAGAATGGTGTTTCGTTTGTTTGTATTAGCACTTTTTTCAACAAATTTTGACGTTTTCATTGCATTTTTACCTGATTACTTCAGAAGGAGGGATATGTTTTTCACGCGTATCTTAAAATTCTAGTACAGTCGAATTTCTGGTTTTCAGGTTTTTCTATAATTCATAGTCATATTCGAAATATTTGTGAACAAGGGAGAAACAACTATTATTAGGTATAGCTCATCATATAGCGATCCTATTTGAGTATCTCAGTAATCTAAGAATGGAAAATGGCTTTTAATGTTACGAATACGGAAAGCACCAATAAGCCTTAGCCCGTATTGCCTTTATTTGAGCTTGTCAGTTTGATATCAGGCTTTTAGGTGTTTCAAAGTATCTGTCAACGAGTATGGAATGACAAGATCATTGATTTACGTATTTGTTAGAGTAAAATACAATGAAAATATTTAAATCGAAGGCAGTGTTATACTGGTGTTAGTAGTGAAAATTCTTTATATACCTGGTTAGAGAAGGCCATTTCTGATGTGGCTGCTCGGCCAATAATAGTTTACTTCTAAACCTAGGTAACATAATATGCAGAGGTATTATCAACTGGTGACAGTAGTGCTAGCAGCCGTTGAGCGACTTGTCGGGTTGCCGTCTGTTTCGTGAGAACACTTGAATTTTAATTCTTGTGCCGAGTCGGGTTCTGGTCATGCTGCGGTTATCAGTTGCTCTTGGGAAGAGCGACTCCTTGAGGTGCACGCCGGTTGAGAGGAAGGGAAGCGAAGAACAGGAAAGCGAGTCTTTTCCACTGGGTTTCTATACACGCGATCAGATGAGAGCTCATACACTACAGTGACTCGAAGGTAAGCGACGGGTCACATTTGGCACATGCAAATGACAAAAGTCGCAGTGGTTGTCATCGCGTCGCTTCCTCTCAGTGGGCGTGCAACTTTAGATCTTTGGCTACTTACTGTTAGTTGTGGCCAATTTTGATACATGGCTTTCGTGTTATCGTGATCCCTCTGGTGGTATTGGGTTCTTTAATATTGCTGCAATATGGCTTTCGGCTTTCTTCATCCTAATCATTTCGCAAAATATGTAAATATATAACAACTAAACTAACCAATTTTGAAGGACCTATTTATTTCCAACCCAGTCGATGTTGACCCTGTTCCTTTTCAGGTAATCGATATTTTGAGTGTCCCAAATGTAGCAAGACCTTTACCCGAAAAGACAACCTAAAAACCCACTTGAAAGCGTACTGCGGAAAACCCCCGTTGTTCAGTTGTGCCTTGGAAGGATGTGACTACAAATGCAAGAAGAAGGCAAATCTTCAACGACATTACATACGGAAACACAATGATTATTCTATGGTGTATGCCGATTCACCACCATTACATTTGTCGCTTTTGGATATTATCCAACAATCAGCAGGATCGAGTGACCTGGACACTTTTCCGGAAAGAAAATAATCTGCGAAAATGGTGATAGATAAAGCTATATGTATACTTCCATACACCACAGATGAAGATATATAAACACCATGATATTATTACTCGAGAAGATAAAGACACGCGCATGCGGTCAGTCTATTTTTTTCGCATACGTGACGTCACTCGGTGACCCAGAGACGAGCGACAAACGTTCAGTTGTCATGACGCTCAAGCACGTAATTTCTTACTACGAGTATATGGTTTCGCTAGTTTATTGCCTGCCGTGTTTCAAATAAGTCTCGATCATTTAAAAACAGTGAATCAAACATTTAAATATGGTGTACTGCGCAGTGGTGGGTTGTTCAAGAAACAACAACAAGAAAATCAAAGACGTTTTGAATTGGCGTTTCTTCAGTTTCCCGAAAAACAAACAACTGTCTGAACAATGGATTCTGACGCATCACAAGTTCAATAATGTCTAATTGAAAGTTAAACTAAAACTAAAAACTTGACCATATTTTCTACACTTTCAACACCAGCATCTTGTTCTAGATATAAAGTTAATTTCAAATAGAGATATAAAAGAAAAATCCAGAATTCTGAATCGGAAAGTGACGAATATTGTAAAATAAACTCATTAAAGTCATTTACCAACCCAGAACACCTACTCATAAGAGATTAAAAGACAAATTATACATAAGTAACATTTTATACAAAATAATAAAGATCAATACTATATCGTGTTACCCATTCTTTTTTTTCATATAAAAAGTTAATATAACAAATTAATGTATGTCACTAATGCACAAAGATAATATTTGAAACCAATTTACTTCAATAAAAAAGTAATTCACTCTATTTGGAGCTCTAAACAAATTTTGGTTTGAAAATCTTCATGCGCGTCTTCAGTAAGTCTTAGCTTATTTAGAACCTTTTAAGTTGTCTATTGTTAGTCTTCCAAAGGAGATTACTTCATAAAGGTAATGTATCCTGTGTATAATGATATACTTAATTGAATTGTAATGCCAAAACATTAAAATAAAAATAAAACAGTTTATATAGTACTATGATTATCATCTAAAATCGAAATCATAAAAAAATAATGAGCAAATATTCCAAATATTGAAAATAAAACGCTCTAATACGTCATTTCATACCGACAAGCGCAATATTTGTCACCGAGTGACTTATAGTATCATCTATAAACATTACAGGTCAATCAGAAATAATCGTTAGTAACGTATTTCAACTTGTCTTTATATATAGTAAGTAGGTATCCAACCAATCATGAGCCTTTCAAATACCATAATTTCTTATATACGTTTCTATTTTGCTCTTTTTTTAATCTTTCCACTGACCATATTTATTTCCCCTTTATCCAGATACCAATATTTGAGCATTTGAAAAGATACAGTAATTCAATAGATGGTATTTATATATCTTCCTACTAGGCTTACTGGTACTGGTTTACAGAGAACTAGAATCAATATGATAATAATGATACAATCCATTTTCAATGTCTATTAACATTAATTAACTTGTTCTACCTGAAGACAGCCAACTACATACTGTATTCTGGGGCCCAAAAAGGTTATGTCTACAGAACACAACCTTTATGTAATGTTTTCTTTTAATATTTTCCAGTTAAACACAGGCAGGGTATGCTTATATTACAGGCAGGTAACAGTTGAACAAGAAGGATTGAAGTTTATTTACAAAGTATATAAATCATTAATCAAACCTTATACCTTCCCCACCCCATCCTGATTTCTATTGTCAACGGAATCAGCCACACAAGGCGACTTCAAGACGGCATGACGACAGACTCATGACAGAAATGATAATATGAAACACGCATGTAATAGCCTTTGTTTTGTCCAATACTTTATTGTCAAGACATCTGAACACAAAAATAAATTCACAAATCTAATACTAAGGGCCGTATCGTTCTTACAATTGTGGGACGCTTTTATAGCCTCCTTGATTTTCATAATTTTCTACTGTTCCATGTCAGCGTTCTATTTTGAAGTTATGTTACAAATAACTATTTGCATCAAATTGTTCATGTTTTTGATTTATATCATCTGTTATATCAGCCTGAAATTTCCTACAATTCAAAAAGATAACCTAGCCTCACAATGGGAGAGCGCTGATGCTGACACGGAGCAGTAGAAATCTATAAATTCCCCAGCCTTTCTGGATCAGAGAAAGTACTATGAAAGTCAAGGAGGCCATAAAGGCGTCCTACAATAAGGAACGACTAACGATTCGTTCCTTAAAGAGTTAGTCTGGTTCTGCTACTGACTTATAGCTGGCGCTAGGTTCTTCAATCCCTTTTTGGCGCCAGCCTAACGCTCATTTTAATTGAAAGACATCCAACTGAAATAACCATTAGAGGGGTGAAAAAAGGAAATGAGAATCCTAGCGGCCATCTATGAAACAATAACAGAACCAAACACTTGAAGGAGGTCACCGTTGGGAGCGAATAGTTATACAATAAAGAGTAATTTTTTTAAATATTTGTGGTTTAATTAGGTCAGACGAACATGGTGGGCAACTCTCTTTTTAGTGTGAATTTCAATTCATTTTTGTGATCCAATTTTTCAGATCACCTTTTGGGTGCCGAAATATTGTATAAATTGTTGACTATTTTCAGGCATTTTAATGCTATTAATTATACATCAGAATATCAACTACAGTATCATCACACAAATACATAAAGTTAGTTAACGAAAAAGATACAATATTTACAATAGTCACATTATCTATAATATAAGAGTTAATGATATTTTACATGAGTCTTACTCAGTTTTTCGGAAACGGGGCATAAAAATATGTACATATTTGGTATACAAAATCAATTGTTGGAAATCTATTATTGAGGCGCGGCCCAATTTTTATGTTAAAGTTATAATGAGGGATGTTACTTTTTCGGTAAAAATATATCTATATTGGTATTATGCATAAGAGATGTAGATTAGTTTGTGTTTATATATTCTGTTGTATCCTCGAAGGAGTAACTATTGTTAATACTATAATACTGTAACAATTGGTATAATAAAAATCTAACAAATCTTAAGCGCTTTGGTCGGTGTCATCTTTTTAGCTCAATATTTTACTGAAGACCATGTTCTGGTAGATTTATCGACTTGGAACCAAGAATGTAAAACATTGGAGAAACACAATTTTTCTGTTAAACTGTGAGGTACAGTATGTTGTAAGTAGCTTGAGCTGGTTTCTATCATTGATTATTTTCAGGTGAACCAAAGTTCGTCTGTGAAAAAAACGGAATATGACCAAAAATGTTTAAAAATACACAGAACCTGGAAATGTGGAACCTTTTTGTCAGCACTGTGATGCAGCATATTTTTATAAAAGAGATTTAAAGTACCCGTTTTGAAAAAACCATGGCATACCAAAAAACCAAAATGGCAATGTTGATGTTATTGTGGTGGATCTGGATGTTACGAGATAAACTGCATATGTTCTTGTTGCCATAAAATGAAATAGTTTGATGAAAGTAATCTATATTGCGTTATCCACTATTAGAATAGTGTCATCAGAATGTCACCCAAATCCACCCTCAATTTGGCTGAACTATGATATCAATGGAAGTAGGTTATGTGTTGCCGACCGATACATGCATATGCTGAAGTATTCTATTGCCGAAATACTGCTGTCATAAGCTAAAGTTCCAGTTATTGACAATGATCACTTTCAGGAGAACCAGAGTACGACTGCCAAACCTGTCAGAAACGTTATATGACTAAAACTGGCTTAAACATGCACATCAAGTTGAAATGTGGTGGAAAGGAGAAAACATTTTTCTGTCATATCTGTAGTGCAGCATATTTTTATAAGAAGGACTTGAAGAACCACTTATGGAGGCATCATGGTATACCAAAAAAGCAAGATCATATTGATGGTGCAAAACAACTGTGAACCTAATCAACAGCTTTTAATAAGTCGTTTAGTATTAAACATTAATGTAACAATTACTTGTTTTATTGAATTGAGGCTTTATCTCACGTCAAACTGCAACCCTTCTTGCCCCTTCAATGTCTAGAAGCTGTTTCATAAAATCTACTAGTGTATGTTGACAAGAATAAGAAGAATCTGATAAACATTCAACCCTTAAGCCGAGCGATACCTAGGACACTTAGTCCTAAGTTGACCCTATTTGGCTGGCATCGTAATGTATTGGTGTAATATAAACAAATTTGGGACGGCCGACTCATTTTATAGCATGCAAATTCACTTCTAATCGAACTATGATATAGACCTCCTCCCCTCAATTTTTATCCGCCGCCAACCACTTATGCTTAAAATATACCTGTCGTCAAACGTTTTTAGGTGTCCGCGTTGCCACCGCTCTGAGTTGCCGCACGTTATGGGATTGCCTTTTCGATCGTTTTCCGAGAATTTGAAATCTAAAGAATAATCACGAGGGAGGTTAAGGTTTAGTTCAGATAACGCGCATGCGACGTGGCGCGAGTTTGTTGCTTCGGTGTACAAATGACAAGAGATACGGAGTGGATTAAATGGGGGCAGAGTTGCGTATTTAGGTAACTAACAAGAGGCCGCTTAGAAACTTTGGAATTCACAGTACTTCCGGAGAGAGACGGAAAAAACCGATTTTTTTCATTTATGTTTTTCCTAGCCTTATTTGTAGTCAGATTTCAAAGTAAATTGCACATATTGCCACTTGTTCTCTACAAGATGGCAAGAATTTGTCCTCCAGCATAAAATTTATTTTTTTATGGACGCCATATCGGATGTTTGCGCAGATGAATAGAGGTTTTAATTCTGCGTTAAAACATGTATAATTCGTACAATGACGTTGTAAAGCCGTAGTTGTTCCAGAAAAACAGAAGTTCCTAAGTAGGCTTTAAGTTTGGAAGGCTGAGAAGGAGATAAATAAATCGAGCATTGAACAATATACAGAAGAGTCAGGCTTTTCCTACAAATTAACGAACATTTTAAACACCTTGCTTATTTATGATTATTATTGTTATTACCATCAATAGAATGTTCATTTTGCGTTCAGGCTTCATCATCCCTCTTTATTTCCTCATAATTTTCATCCAACAGCAAATTCATGACCATCTAGGGAAATACATCACTGAATAGTGGACTGAAATGTACAAAATTCCAATATTGCTTCCATATGAAAATACAAAGGTGGTGATGGAAGTCGAAAGAATAAATGTCAAATTGTAAATTTGACTACGCCATTTTGTATAGGAGAATTAGTAACAATGACAACATGCAATTCACTTTAAAATCCATAATTTGTGGAAATACACGGTATTCTCGTTCTTTAACTTGAAAGCGATACTCGTTCAAAACGCTTAGCGAATCATGTCGTACAGGAAAAGCATTAACCACTTAACACGTACAATCTATAAGGCCCGTATCGTCAGTCGTCCCTACAATTGTAGGGCGCCTTTATGGCCTCCTTGATTGTCGTAGTTTTCTACTTCTCCGTGTCAGAACTCTATTTTGAGGTTATGTCACAAACATCTATTTGCATCAAATTGTGCTTACTTTTGAGTTATATCATGTTTTATCAGCCTGAAATTTCCTACAATTTAAAAAGAAAACATATCTTCACAATAGGAGAGCGCTCACGCTGACACGGGACAAGTGTAATCTAGAAATTTTTGAAGGAGAGAAAGGAGTATGACAATCATAAACGCGCCCTACAATTGTAGAGACGACTGACGATACGGGCCTAAGACACTGGAAAAAGTGGTTGCAGATTTCCTCCAAAATTGGCACATCCTTTTTTTAGGTGATATAGTTTTACAAAAGTTTTTTACAAACTCCTAGAATCTTTGCCCCTCTCAAGTCTCCGATATTTCTGTTTGAACGCCAATAAACTGATATGCCATTTGGTATCGGAAATTTGTTCAAAAAATGGGGTCACGTAGTACTCTGCACTTATGTTCAACACAAACTAGACCTTATGAGAAAAAAGTCGTTCATACAGGACCGTACAATTAGTCCAGACACATTATTCCCCTGCCCTACTAGTAGTGCATATCTGGAAACGTCGCATCTCCCCGGTGAGACATGGCAGCGCGGTTACGGCATAAAAAACACTATGCTGTGACGCGGCAGAAATATAATTAATACCACACGAGAACAGGTACGCGGTCGGTCTACCGATATACTTCATAGTTTTAAGGACTTATGTACAGAGAAATCTATGATGTGTGAAATATATCTAATAGATGCGTGGAATCACCAAGGTTGGGAGCGTATACATGTACTGACTTCAACAAATTTAGATTAATCCTCGCCACCCCCTACGATCCCCACCGCCAGATTTCCTTACCTCTAAAATGTTTTTCAAAAATGATTAGGGTCCTCTGAAACGTCAAAAAACGAAGCTTTAGTCGTTTTTACCATTTTAGTCCTTTTTCTGTGCTGCCACAAAGACTACAGTATTGCATTCTTGGCATAGCAGTAACATTGTGTAAAGGTTTCATCGAAATCCGAGCAGTACTTCTCAAGTTATAGGCAGACAGACCGACGGAAAGTTTTTAGTGATGTACATATAACACCCAAAAACATAGTATCTCATTTTCGGAAATGTTTGCGATTACAATACTTCCCGCCAGTAGTAGGCGTAGGAAGTAAAACTACCACAATATCGTATCAATAACACCCAATACCCTAGACATGAATAAAAACTCGTACAGCGATAATCAAAGCACCAACCACCAGCTGACAAGCGATTTTCAAAAACGTTAAGTGTGAGACTAGCGGAAATACCATATTTTTACCAGCTCATTAAAACCAAGTCCAAATGACGTCATATTGACTGAACGCCTTGAAACGCTTCGCGCCTGAATGCTATGAAAAATGCGCGGCAATTGAATAGGCAATGGGAACGTCTAGTATCTGAATACGCATGTCAGTATCGACGCGCGTCTAGTGGCGCAGTACAAACGTATATATTTCCTGACGCGCACTTCCATGTGAAGAGCTAGTAATAATTATGTGTATTTTCTAAGCTAGCGTCAGGTGAACACGCGTCATCTGAACTCAGTCTAATAACAAACGGTTTTCTTCAAAAGAAAAATAGGGAGTTTTTTATGACTTCCAAGGGAATTACTGCAATCCTGCGTGGCAACATAACTGTGACATTGGAAATTGTCGAATTATAACATAAGGTTTGGCTTCTTGCATACTTACAACACATATTGTAAATTTTATATTATATTGTATAACATATACTGTTGAGTAATTTTATATCTTTATACACTAACCTTACAATTTGCTTGCTTTGGACAAGGCAGTGGCTTCCATTATTGGGTTAGAATAGATGTAATTGGTGTTGGGATTAATTACAATGGTGTATAAAAGCTGAATGGTGGTATACCAACCAATGGAAAAGCTACAGCTACAGCAAATAGTTTGATTTTTAGGTGGCACTTACGTGAGAAGACCCAGGGGAAAGGGCAATTACGGGTGCATATGTGGCAAAAGATACTACCAAAGAAAGAATCTAGTGAGACATCAACAAGTGGCGTGCGAATTTTACGATGAGTATCGTAAGAGAATGTTTAAATCTAAGGATCTACTTGGAGAATTTTGTTGATAGGTACATATAAATATATACTAAGGGTACAAAGAGACATAATCAGGGTTACTATTTTATACTATTTAGCTAGTTGGATTTAGTTAAGTTTGATAAAAAAAATCACTGAATTGTTAATGGTTTTATAAGGTTATTGGGAATATATTTGCACTTTACGTTTCTCCATCGCCTTTTATTAATTTTTGTTTTCCACATTTTTGAATGACCTTCATTTGCGTCATACGAGCAAGACTTTTGCAAGTACCGAAAACTTAACTTCATACTTCCCGCGCAAGCAGTAAAGATCTGCTTATTTTTTGATCAAGACCGTGTGAGGTTACTGACAATCAGAATTTTAGAATCTGCATTAATAACACTGTATTGCAAGCAAGCAACCAATGTAAAAATCTGGGATTATATATGGATAATACTCTTAAATTTGTTCCCCACGTTAAGCATCTCTTACAAAAAGCTTATGCTAAATTAAGGACTTTTTATCTTCACAAGAATGCTCTCTCTACTGAAGTCAGGCTGAATCTATGCGATTCGTTGATATTGTCTTCCTTGTCATATGCTGATATTGTATACTGGCCTGCTCTCACTACTAGAGACAAACGTTCTATTCAAAAAATTCAGAACTCATGCATCAAATTTTCGTACGGTTTGAAAAAATATGACCACTTCAGTGACGAATTTCGAGCCTCTGGCTGGTTCAACATGCATGAGCGCTTTTTGATACATCTTGCTTGCTTAACTTACAATATTAACAAAACCCAGCTGCCACTTTACCTATATACCAAACTTGTTAAGAGATCGGATCTTCATGATAGGGAAACTCGTTCTTGTAATCTCTATGATGTTCCGTTACATAGTACTGAACAGTTTAAAAACTCATTTACTTATGTTGCATCTACCATGTATAACTCATTGCCAGATGCAGTAAAAGATTCGACCTCACTTAGCAGCTTCCGAAATAGAGTCAAATCCCATGTGAAATGAGCACAATAGTTAGTTTTATTTTTGTTGTATTAATTACACCCATCATTATTCGCTCATTATCATCTAATTGTTAGTATTGTATTATTTACGGGGGTTGCATGGAAGAGCAACTATGTTGAATGCCGCCTCCCTCATCAAATGAGTTTTTTTTTGTTTGTTACAATTTATCTAAAAAATAAAGACATATTATTATTATTATTATTATTATTATCTTCTTATATCAGTGCCCAACAACAGAGAACTGGTGAGAGCTCAATTAATCCCAAGAAACACACTATTGTTTTTGACCATAAACGCCCATTTCAGGAAATGCTGAGGAATTTCCTTATAAATGCACCCAATGTTCTAAAAGAAAATACAAGCAGAAGCGTAGTCTGATGAGGCACCTCAAATATGAATGTCAAAAATCGGCGCAGTTTTTTTGTACTCATCCAGGGTGCAAATTTTCGAGTAAACACAAAACTAATCTGAAATCCCACATGCTGCAGATACATAATGTATTTTACACAGAAGGAAATCAATAAGAGGAATACTCAATGAGGAAGAACTATCCCATCGTGCATGGGAATGGAACAAGGGAATGAAACAAAGAGGAACTAGAATTCTGCAAGTCCAACATTTTGTTATTTATATGGACTCCCAGTGCAAAAAAAACAATATTGAATAAAAAAACAGAAGATTCTCCTTCAGGGTTGCATACTAATAAGATCCAATGAAAAAACTGTATGCTCCAGGTCCAAGTTTTTTCAAAATAAGTGGTTTGAAGTCAATGATGACAAACACGTTTAGCACCTGTGATGTATCATTTACGCCTCATTAAATGAATAGAAATTTGAACACCTTTATTTTCTGATCCTTGCTGACGCTTGCAATGTGATCCTTCTTAGATGACTTGAAGGAGGGTTATGTATGCGGGATGTCAACCTAAACTGAACCGAAATATTAGCGTGTATGGTCAGCTTAAACTTAGTGATAAATTAGTCGCCTATTTCCAAAAGCGGCTAAACCTATATCTACGAAAAATGTTGTGGGTGCTCCTATCTCACAGTCAAAAGTTGCAGTAATATACTGTAATACATATTTGTTTCCAAATTGTCGCAAAATCCATATAAATCGCTCACTATTTCAGACTTATTTTCAAATCCGGCTAAAGCTGATGGGTGTTTCATTACAAAAGTGGCTAGTTTTACCAAAATCGGCTAACCCAAATGTTGCACCAACTACTATGATGCTTTTGTTCATGAACAAAACCGACTAAATCCCGTCAACGTGTGTTTACCATGGCCTGGAAGTGAAAATGTGAAGAATTCGGATTAGAATAAGACTAATGGACAATCAACAAAGGTTAACACAATCAGAAGAAAATACCGATGAGAATAGTGAGTGCTTTGCTAATACTGAGTATAGTTTTGAAGCTGATATCGTATGACTGTTTTTTAGATTCGTTTTTAACCTAAAGGGCTTTTCACTTTTCAAGTTGAATTTTAAGGTGATGTATTCAAAACAGTTTACAAGAAAGAATCTATGGTTTTTTATTCCTTTTTGCTATATTTGATCTAATGTTAGCACATCAGAAAAGAATTCACACGAATCTGGTTTCGTTACCGGGTAAATCCTGATTTGACATTCAAACTCGGGTAGATTAATCCCTACCCCCCTCTCATATAAACATATATTTTATTTTGTAAAATTCCTTTATTGTGCTACATACATTAATATTACGATATTATTGGTTCAAAAACTCACATATAGTAACAGTTACATTTTTTCGCCTTTTTCTTGATACTATCAATTTTGGATTTAGCCACTTTTGGAAATAGGGGACTCAAATAGTCAGGACCGAATCTGGCGTAAATCACATTAAGGTCGACATAGTTATGCAGCAACAGTTGTTTGTAAACGGGTTATCTGTCAGCACAGAGCTGTGTTAACCACCGAACAGCCCTTTTCTATGGTTAGCTGGCCACTGTAGAATGTCGTATTCAGACATTGGGTCAACTTAGGCGAACTCCAATATGTGAACGCTAAACCAATGTGCATGGGCCGGGATTGGCTAACGTTGGCGCCTAACGACCTTCGGCTTCTCAGTCAACAAATGATACTGGCCCCAAGCACACCAGACAGATTAATGAAATCTATTTGCTATGCAATAGCATTATTCTTAGAGTGAAGTGGATGGGATGGTCGTCTGTATAAAGAAATGTACAAAAATTAGTCACTCTGGTGTTGCACTGATGATGAAACTTATCCTGTGGCTTTCATACTGGTAATCCTCCATTTTGCCTAGCCGCTAAATGAAACAACATATGCTTAAAATACTCGTTACTGACGACATTATTTCAGCCACCACGGTGACCTTTTTCAAGTACAAACAACAATTCTGATAACAATATATTGTCATTATTTGTATTTCAGTATTTTAAGCATATGTGGTTTCATTCAGCAACTAGGCAAACACAGAATGAAGTGATACCAATACAATTACTTACTTCCTCTTATAATATGCTAATATTAGAAATAATACGAGGCTTGTTCAATTGAAACCCATCTTTGGTCAACAATTCTAATCACTTGAATGACGTTTTGCAACGTTAGTTCTGTTTGTAAACGTTACACTAATCTTAACTAAGAGCTAAGGTCCACCGGACCGCTTTTCAAACTATGACGAATAGTAGTCAATCTAACCAGTTCCTGTCATTTGTATTTCACTGCGATTTGAAGTATTGTGACCTAAAAATAGCGTTTTGTGTGCTGGATGTTTGCAACCATTGCAAATTCTTACGCGAATGCAAGCAGTGTTATAGAAACGCATGTTTTGCGTATCCAAATGTCAAAATTTAAAAGTGGAAGAGAGGAGACGAATGATAAGCCGCGACCAGGTGCATTGAGTACTTCATCAACCGACAGAAATGTGGCGTGTGTGGAAGGCATGCTTAGAGAAAATCGTCGAATTTCAATTAGAGCAATTTCATAAAATGTTGGTCTGAATATCTAGGATCTGTTCATAGTACCGTACACAAATTGGGTTACAGAAAAGTTTGTGCGCAATGGGTTCCTTGCCTTTTGTCAGAAAACCAAAACAGCTTGCGAATAGGCTTATCTTTGCATCACCTCACGGAATACAAGCAAAATGGTACTGGCATTCTTTCGTCAATAATTGCCAGCGACGAATCTCGGTGTCATTATTTTGAACTATCCAATAAGCGGTCATTCATGTTTAAAGTTCAACCTTCTGCGGGCAAGGTTTTTTTTGTACACCTGTGACCTGTACAATCTCCATCAAGCAATAAGACGAAAACGACCAGAAAAGCTCTCAAGTGGTGTCATTATTCTGCTCGGCAATGCTCAGCCTCATGTTGCCAGAGTGGTGAAAGAAAATCTACAACGAAAGAAAGGGATTTTCACTTTTTTGGGCCACTGAACAAGGAGTTAAAAGGTAAACATTTTCAGTCGGAAGAAAAAGTACAAAATTTCGTAAAAGAATTCTTCAAGCAGCAGCCACAAGAATTCTTTAAGCAGGGTGGTGAACCAAAGGGATGTATACCATAACGGTAGTGGTAATTATCTATAAATATATTTGCCAATAATATTGTTTTCTGGACCAAAGATGGGTGTCAATTGAACAAGCCTCGAATTTAAAGTTATGTCACAGATGAAAACAGAAACGATATTTTTCTTGAAAACACAACTCTTTTCTTCATAACATTGTCTAAAAAATCATATTCTGGAAGATTAGTACGTTATACTTTCTGTCACTAAGTCCCGTATCGTCAGCCGTCCCTACAATTGTAGGGCGCGTTTATGGCCTCCTTGATTGTCATACTGCTTTCTCTCCTTCAAAAATTTTTGGATTACACTTGTCCCGTGTTAGCGTCAGCGCTCTCCTATTGTGAAGATATGTTTTCTTTTTAAATTGTAGGAAATTTCAGGCTGATAAAACATGATATAACTCAAAAGCAAGCACAATTTGATGCGAATAGGTGTTTGTGACATAACCTCAAAATAGAGTTCTGACACGGAGAAGTATAAAACTATGACAATCAAGGAGGCCATAAAGGCGCCCTACAATTGTAGGGACGACTGACGATACGGGCCTAAAACCTATTTTTTTTTTGCTTTTTACTTGTTGTGTAATAAATGACTGACATCACTTGGCTGAAGCGTCACACAGCAAGATTTATCAATCATATCCCACAAGTTAGTCAAGTGCAGACCAATGCATGAATTCTGTTTTTTGTGTTGGCCAAATGTGTGAAAGCGACATAAACTTGGCTAGTGTAAACATGGCCAAGCTGAGTTATGAGTTATGAGAACAGCTCTGAAAAATGCATGAAAGAGGCTTGTCTAAAGATCACTGGCCATCTTTACACCATAGCTGGCGAAGCGCTTATATGGTGTGAACCGACTCGGAACAGCATTTACGCATCGAACAACACGATTTATTTATACTGTTACCAGGGAGCTCTACCTAAGCGCTTGGCTACACACTGTTTAAACATGTCCAGTGATATTTTATTGAGCACTTGCATATTTCTGATTTGATCATGAATGTTTCAGTACCTGTCCTTGTGCCCTTCAAGTGTTCACAGTGTGAAAAGAGCTACAAATACAAACAAAACCTAGTGAGGCATCTCAAATACGAATGTGACAAGGAAGCACAGTACCATTGTGATTATGAGTCGTGCGGTTACTCCAGCAAATTCAAATCTAACTTGAAAAAGCATTGTTACCGTAAACACAATGGCGGCTGTTGTAAAATTTGAACATGATTACATATGAACTCTGTGCAATAGTCAAATTGTAGTAGCTTTGTTGTTGTAATATTGAATTCAAATATATTGCGTGTAATATAACTGCGTGGCAAACACAAACATAAGTGTATATTAAAAAAAATATATTTGCCCCGTTCATCACATCGTAGCGCTACTTTAAGCCATACTTTATTTTCTGCTGAGCGCACGTGATCACTTTGGCCGCTACCGGAGCAGTCGCCATTATTTCCATCAGAACTAAAATTAATAATTAGGCTGAGCTCTTGACTAAGTGATACATCAAACACTGTTTTATGGAGTTTAGTGACTTTTGTTTCCTTTATCCGGTTTAAAAAATAGTGTAGATGTCGTGTAAAATTAAGCTAATAAAGTTAATAATGATAGAAAATTGCAAAACTCATAAACAAGCAGGACAAAATGGGAGGAAACTATAAGGAAACAAAATCTGTTCAGTCACTGATTGAACAGATAATTATATCATGGTACAATATGGTAAATGTCTATCTGAAATGAAATGTGAAATCCTTTTTAATCTTCGATTAGGGCCATGACAATTGAGAAGCCCAGTGACACGTTCAGCGGTTTGATCTCTTATGAGGAAGCCTCAAAGCGACCGCTATAGTAGCGCTACATTGTTAAAAAATAGCAAGCTAGGGGATATTTTGTCCGAAAAAGCGCTCAATCCTAACGGTTCACAAGACAGTCAGATAATCGCAAAGGACGACCGACGCATCATTCTTATGGAAAAGGTTCCTGTGCATTTGCTCCAAACTTTGAGGTTGTATTCTCCTAGTAGTGCTGATCAAATGTTCTCGACTCGATTTAAAATGAGGCAAAATATCCAGAGCAGTTGAAATTTGGATATTTATGCCTTGTGCAGCTGAACCGCAAAATTCCCCATTTTTCACTGAGCACACAGTTTATGGTTTGAATGACTTAATTACATCATAAATATGACATGAGTCGTGGGATTCTTTACTTTCGTTTTTCCCATCACACTTGCATAAATATTCCTTACGTGGGGGGTGCGGGTCTGTTCTCGAAAATCACTATTATACCACAATGACGATATGTTAAAGTGTTTCGCCGTTCTTTTCAAAAATCAAGTATCTGACTGATTTGTGCTCAAGCTATCTAAGTGCTCCAATCTTTGGAATATTCCTATATTTGGGGTGGGCTGCATAATTATGATTATGTGTATTTTCGGAACTGCTTTGTAAACAAACTTCCCAAGAAAAAATAAATCGTCGCAGAGAAAACAGAAGAACTAGTATCGATTATTATTACATAGTAAGTAAATACGTATCTGGGATCACGAAATTCCAAAAAGCTAATCGCTACCTTTTCTAGGATTTCAAACAGGACAAATATTTTGTTGTAACGTGTGCCATAAAGGATACAGACATCGACAGTCCCTCTACAAGCATAGACGTTTCGAATGTGGGCAGCCGCCTCAGTTCAAATGTTCCTACAGTGGATGTGCATTTAGGACAAATGTTAAGGGGAATCTCACCCAGCACATGATAAGACATCTAACCAGGGGACCTCATTTTAAAGGAAAATATTCTTGAAATCTAAAATTTGTTATAAATCAATACAATAAGCTGAGACAAAATGGATACAACACTGCCTGTTGACATTATAGACTTTATTTTTTTGCTTCTATACAAATTCGTTTATAAATTAATGTATTATAGATTAAGAATTTTGATTAAACCTGGCTCTGATTTATCGCATTAAGGAGCCACATTTTACTACAACCTATCCAAAAAACATAATTCTTTGACACTCTGTACATTTCAAAACAGTTTATTATACATTTAAAGTCTGTCTGACAGTGCTAGTGTTAAGTTACACGTAATTTAATTTTTGTTGAGAATCACGTATCTGTAGTATGATATTTATGTATTTTACAGTGGTGACCCGGCTATCAAAGCGAACTGAGATATTTACAGTTCCAACCGATAGCTGCTATTCACTCTTATAGTGCTCGATTCTGGTGATAGATGTCACTTTGTGTTGTCTTATTTAGATGTTATTTTGTGTCCACTCTGCATGCAAAGATTCTTTTTCCATAATTTTTCGCTTTTCATTTAATTTGCCCCATTTCGTTATATTTTTGAACCGTTACATCATCTTAGATTTTTTTAGGGTATCATTTGAGCATTCAACCACTCCTCGAAGTGCTAAAATTACAACCTGTAAAAAGAAGATCATCTATCTCGCCCTCCAAAATCGTAACAGTACTTTCAAAGAAGCAAAAAGGCTTTTCGGACACCAAACCAGCAATGGTGAGCACGGGGACTCAAAAAATGCCTACGTTCAAAACTGCAAGAGGAAGAAAGAAGAAACTTTGGAAAGTGGAAACCTTCTATGAACGTGGTGATGGTAAGAAAATCCAGGTCATCAGATGTGCCACCTGCAGAACGTTTGTGAGTAAAGATGCTACTCAATGTAAGGTGTGTGTTAACAAAGCCCTTGGTATACATGTTATCAGAAGAAAACCGAAAGAACCTAAGACAGATGAGAACAAGACAGATACCAAGAATCAAAAAGTACCGAAAAAGGTAAAGAAAGAAGCGTCTTCCGTACCCAAATCATTAGAAGTCTCTACTGTTAAGAAGGAAGTGAAGAAGGAATTGATCGAAGAAGGACAAAGCACTACTACCTCTAAATTACCTGAAGCTGTTACTATCAAGAAAGAGGTAAAGAAGAAAGAGAAACCTGTTGGCGCTGTAAAGTCGAAAAAGATCAAAGTCCCTGCTGGTCGTGTAAAGCCAGTAAAAAGCAGATGTACTCTCGGATGTAAGCGTTGCCTATCTTGTAGAACTTTTCTTAAAAAGCCTTTGAAAGGTCTTTGCGACAAGTGTAAGATATGGTGTGGGAAAAAAGCCGTGAAAAAAGAAGGAGATGCAGTAAAAGTGAAAGAACAAGTTGATGTTGCTGAGATAAGTGCAAAGACGATCGATAAGCCTAGTGTGAATGTTTTGACCGATGTAATTGTTGCTAAACAGGAAAAAGTAACAAAGGGTAAACAGTCAACACCAAAGAAAGGTAAAAACAAACACCCTGGTGTTGATCAGGCGAGCGAGTTGTTAAAAAATAATTGACATTTATGTATAGACGTTTTATGTAACATTATTAATGGTTTTAGAGTTTAAGTTGCAAATGTTTAACACGTTTTAAATTTTACTTATTCACTTAATATTAACAGTTCATGGTTCATGTTACATGTATATGGTTATTTAATAAATATTTGGAGCACTATTTCGGGTTTCATTGGTAATGGTCATTGTCTATCAGAGCCGTGCACTTTAACTCTTAGTTGGAAGTTGCTTCGGCCTGTTAATCTGTAAAATCAGGTTTCACAGATCCCTGGCAAATTCAAGGGGAAAGAGAAAAGGAGAAAATAAATCAAGAAAGAGAGCAAATACAGGAGTGGATCATTTGTGAAGGAAAAACCTTTAGGAATTGTTGGTTTGACTACTAGAGAAATGTTGGTATCAAAAACTTATTTTGATGAAGAAATGTTATAGCGATTCTGGAAGCTAATGCATTTTCAGAAAAATTGATCCAAAAAATTCGTGTAAATATTATTTAGTGATAGATTTTTCCGTTATTAATTGTAATGAGTGATCAAAACAGTTGTAGGATATTCAGGGTGACTCACAAGTTGTGACCAAAAATTAAACATCATACACAGGACCGAGTTCTTCTATGTAACATTTTTTCCTCGAGGGCTTTATTGACAAGACGAAGCTGAAGTTTAAAAATAAAAAACATTTTTTTCAATATCTCCAAAACCGTCAACTGGAATAAATTAAAATTTGGTATGTAGATTTACCTAAGTATGGTCCATATTCGAAAGTCTTTACTAACGTACACCAGTGGCGGAGATACAGGGTATTAGTGGCAATATTTTTTCAAATAAAAATAGTATGCCGGTGTTTTTTCTAGAAACACGCAACGTTTCGAATTTTGCCGTCAATTTTCTACAAATACTCTGGTATTTTTTCAGTGAGTGCATTGTTTTCGTAAAAATAAAAAAAATAGTAAAAACCTTTTGCGTGTTAGGAAATCTACGTTGATACTTACGAGAAGCCGCTAAAACATTTCCATTACAGAACCTGTACACAAAAAAATATCGGCGTACTCAAAAAAGGGCAAAAAAAAACTTTTGACTTGACTTTTACATAAAAAAATGGTAGTAGTAACGATAACAACCGTATAAAACATAACTTTGACAAACCATCTTTTAAGAAACGTCAAGTTGGCATCAAGGACTCCTATTTTATTTTGAAATTAATTGTATCTTGGCTCTTCATGAATGATCCAATTTGTTTCATTTTTATTTTTTCCGAAAATAGTGCTCTCTAGGAAAAACACAAGAGTAATTATTTATAGAAAATTGAAGAAATACTTCGAAAAATAGCACCTTTCGAAAAAAAACTGTGGTGTACTATTTTTCTTTGGAAAAATAATGCCACTAATCCCCTGATCTCCGCCACTTTTTTTTAGTTCATTCTAGTTGACGGTTTTGAAGATAATAAAAATGGTTTTTCATTTTCAAACTTCAGCACCCCGCATCTTTTTAATCAAGCCCTCGAGGAAAGGATGTTACATAGAAGCCCTCCTTTAGAATACTGTCTTGTGTATGATGTTTCATTTTTGGTCACGACTCGTGAATCACTCTGTATATATATTTATATATATATATATATATATATATATATATTATATAAATGTTTTCCTCTAGCAGTACTGTTTATATGATTATTTTCAGATGCTACTGGTGTCGCACTTCTCTTTAATGTTTATTATTTGTTTTTAATAATACTGTTGTTTTTAGATTTAGCCGCAAGGTGTCCACAGTGCGGGAAATGTTACAAAAATTACAACAGCTTGAAATCTCACATATCCCAAATATGCGGAAAGGAGTTCAAGTATACTTGCACTCTTTGTAATAGGAGCTTCAGGAAAAAAAGTAATCTCAAACAGCACTGTATAATTAAACATAGAATACAAAGTTTTGTATAATGACCTTACAATCTACTTTGATTTTCAACCCTTGCCCTAGATATCCATGTGATGATTGATCATCCCACTTTCATTTCAATTTTTTGTAAAATATGTTATTAAGTTTTTATAAGGTTTTTTATGTGGTATGAGGTGTGATTACTTCGCGATAAACAATATCGACTTGTTTGTATTTGATATACTATGACTTTGAAGATAATGTATCAAACATAATTGGTGACGATTAGATTTCCCAAAGTTGGAATCACTGTTTCTAGTTTCTACATTCGAGACATTGTATTTATTTTTCGACAATGTCTGTTTGTATATTCGAATACGGACTCTCCCTAACATAACTTCCTCTTTTTTTATGGTCTATTTTTTATGATATAGTCATACTGCACCTGTTAATATATAAAATCGTACAGTTTTATATTGAAGCCGTAAAAAAACATTTCGAAATTTTTATATCTATGTTTACTAATCATATTTTTTCAGCTAAGCTCAGGTGCCCTAGATGTCACAAAAGGTATTCTCATAAATCCTCACTGTATAATCATGTTGCCTACGAGTGTGGGAAGGAACCCAACTTTAAGTGCACATTTTGCATATACAAGGCTAAGAGGAAACATTGCCTAAAGGACCACCTTTACCGAATTCACAATGTAGATCCCAAATTATATATTTAAGGATGTTAACACATGATGCAGTCTCTCTAAGCTAGAAGAATCTGATCTTTTAAGTCTTTTTCTTAACAATAGGTCATAGATTTGTCAAGATACGAGAGTAGAGTGAAGAGTTCTTGTTTTGACAATAAAAGACTAAGATTATCATTCAATAAATGATTTCATTTTTTTACATAATCTTATTCGACTTGTTGCTTCTCAGAGATGGAAATCTGGAAAGCTGTCAACATATTTATCTACATGCCTCTCAACTTCTGCTAATGCGATTTCCAGAAAGAAATTTCTCGAATCTAGGCACGGATGGAAGCCTAGTGGTGCCGTCAAGATAATAAGAGGGGCAATTCATACCTCAAATCATGCAGTCAGCAGGTCAGCAGTACGTACGGTGATGAAAATTCATTTTCTCTTCAAAGCCAATTCCTTTCTCATGAATTTTGGCATCCAGATTGTCAAGGAGAAGGAGAAATGGTATTCGCTCGAAATTGCTCTACATTCAAGCTACTATGGGCCATATCGTCAGTCGTTCCTAGAATTGTAGGACGCCTTTATGGCCTCCTTGATTTTCATAGTTTTCTACTCTTCCGCGTCAGCGCTCTATTCTGAGGTTATGTTACAAATATCTATTTGCATCTAATTGTTCATACTTTTGATTTATATTATCTGTTATATAGCCTGAAGTTTCCTAAAATTAAAGAAGAAAACATGACAATAGAAGAGCGCTGACGTTGACACGGAACGGTAGAAATCTAGAAATATCCCAGTCTTTCTGAAGGAGAGGAAAGACTATGAAAATCAAGGAGGCCATAAAGGCGTCCTACAATTGTAGGAACGACTGACGATACTGCCCTTAATTAACTGGATCCCAAAATACAGTAGCCATAACCTTTCCGGGATTCAATCGACTTCTCTTCCTGAGCGCTGAACCACCGGCTTCCACCCACTGCTTCGATTGCTATTTTGCTGCTGGTGCTTAGAGGTCGACCCATCTCTCACGCATAGTGTAGTGAATCACCGCATAAAATGAAGCTCTCATGTAGGAATTATAAATCGCTGATTGGAGCGCCATAACTGTGTCAGGCCAAGAACTTTTCACCTTATCCTCGTAGTTATGCAAAATTAACAAGTCTTCTAAATGGTTGTCCAATATCGACGCAATTTTTTATCAACTAATAAAACAATGAATTTTAAGTGGAACGAATACAACATATATTTAAAATGAGATACATGAATAGCAAGTTAAGAAAATTATGTGTGGTAAATGATATCTTGCAAATGACCGCCCCGTGATAACTTGCAAATAGTCATTCTTTTGTTAAAATTCTTGATGACACGGTCACATAATTGCAGCTCTATCTCAGCGATTACACGGGTTATTTCCTCTTTCAATGCTTCAATCGTCTGGGGATTGTTCCTGTAGACTTCACTTTTAGCATAGCTCCAAAGGAAGAAGTCCAGCGGAGTCAAATCGCACGAACGAGCTGGCCAGTTGACAGCTCCGTTTCTGGAGATAACTTTACCATTCAATTTCTGCTCCAATAACGGGATTGTGTCTCGTGATGTGTGACAGGTTGCTCCATCCTGTTAAAACCAAATGTCTTGGGCATCAATATTTTTCACGTCAGGCCACAAAAAAATCTTGTAACATTCGTCGGTATCGAATACCATTGACAAAAACAGCAGAAACGTCATCTTCGAAGGGCCAATCACTCCACCACTCCAAAGACCACACCAACAGTGACTTTTGCTGGGTATAAATCTTGTTCAATAATCACTCTTGGATTTTCCTCACTCCAAATCCGACAATTTTGTTTGTTTACATACCCATTAAGTTGGAAATGTGCTTCGTCGCTAAAGACCATTTTTTTGGAAAACCCTTCTTCCTGTTGCTCAATGAAATTAACAATCACGACGTTTTGCATGGTCGGTGGGTCAATTGGATCTTGAATACTTTTGATTCCAAATCCTTGTGTAACATACGCCAAACAGTGGTTTGTGGAATATGCACCTGTTGTGAACGCCGTGGAATGAACATTCTTGTGTCATCTTGAACACTCTCACGAACTGCAGCAATATTCTCTTGTGAGCGGCCGAGCGTGGACTATCGGTGATTTTATGTCGAAGACTGGACCAGTCTCTTCAAATTTCCTCACTATTCTCGATCTTGTTGACTCATTTGGACGATTATGACGTTGATAAAACTCACGTAATTTATGAATAACATTTTTATTTGAACGTCGATTTTCATAATAAAGTTGAATTATCTGCACACGTTCTACGCTGTCCATTTTATAAATTGCGAACTGTAGTAGCTTACAAATGTCAATAAACCATGATATTTCTACTGTTAAACGTAACCTGGACAACCTAACAAAAAAGTGCGTCCCTAGTGGAAAACCTAATATATATGGATATCAGACAACTTACATTTATATTTTTCTCATTGACTAGTAAATAAATATATTCTATGTTAGATTTTTCTGTAATACTTATTTAGTTTTGTTTCATACGATTATTGCTATTTTATTATTTTTGTTAATATAGTTGTTACAGTATAGTTTGTTTCAATCAAAACGACAAAAGTCAGTTCCTTAATCAACCTAGTTAGTGTTAGTTTTGTGTACTCCATTAGTGCCAAAAGAACGTAGATCAAT